ATGGATGGATGGATAGATGGATGGATAAATAGGTGGATGGTTGGATAGATAGGTGAATGGTTGGATGGATAAATGGATGGATGGATAGATAGATGAGTGGATGTATGGATGGGTGGTAGAATCGATTGATGTTTGGATGGAAAGATAGATGGTTAGATGCATGGATGGATGTATAGATGGATACAAAGATGGATGGATGGATGGATGGATGGATGGATGGATGGATGGATGGATGGTTTTGTAGGTAGATGGATGGATGGATAGATAGAATAATGGATAGGTGGATGGACCTTAGATAGAATAATAAATAGGTGGATGGACAGATTGGTGGATGGTAGGGATTGGATGAATACATTGAAAATACATATAGCATAGTGTCTAACTTTCGGTAAGATATCAAAGAATCCTATTCAAACATTATAAATTTGACATATTTTATAATTTGCAGTCGAATTATAAAATTTCAAAATCTCACTCTTACTTTGAGATCTTTGTTTTTCTAACATGTCTGTTAAGCTGTTTAATGATTTTTTCTCAATAAATTCCTTAATCTCCAACATTGTTGCCCCGGCCAGAGGAACAACTGGTGTTCTTGAAGTGCTTCGTCTAGAAATTCCACAAAGAGAAAAAAAAATTAATGAAGATTAAAAAAAAACATCAGATGGATGTGGGGGCACATGCCTGTAATCCCAGAGGCTTGGGAGTCTGAGGCAGGAGGATCATGAATTCAAAACCAGCCTCAGAAAAAGCGAGGCCCTAAGTAACTTAGTGAGACCCTGTCTCTAAATAAATACAAAAAAAGGATAAGGGATGTGGCTCAGTGGTCAAGTACCCCTGAGTTCAATCTCTAGTATCTTCCCCCCCAAAAAAAATTGCACCTCAGAAGGTGACCATTTTGAGAACTGCATGCAGAGACCACCATGCTTGAGGCACATGTGCATATAAACACAAGCTTTTCTTTCTTTCTTGTTCTTTAATTTTGCCTGGGTTGCACGAGTTCCAACTTAACCACAATTACTAAATTAAAGAGAAAACTTGCCCTGAGTTGTAACAGGTCTCATCCAAGAGGGGCTCTCTTCCCACCCCACCCACAAAATAACAGGATACCATCCTTACCGAATTGAAGAAAGATCATCCATTTTGAGTGACTTTTCATAGTCCTCATTGTTCTTGGAAATGATTTCAGGTTTTGCTTGGTGAGAACCTAATAATATTAGCAAATGTCACCAAAGTTCTTATTCCATGCTGATTCAGTAAGAAACAGGGACCCCCTTACACATTTCTGTAATGCTGGCCTTGAGGCAGAAGGCTAGGTGTGTGGTAAGCACCCCAAAAAAGAAATTTTGGGGCTGGGGTGGTGGCTCAGTGGTAGAGCACTTGCCTAGCATGTGTGAGGCACTGGGTTCAATTCTCAGCACCATGTATAAGTAAATAAAATAAAAGTCCATTGACAACTTAAAAATATTTTTCAAAAAAAGGTTTGTTAGTCATTACCAAGTGCATGGATAATGAATATGTGGATGAGACTCATTCTAATTATTTGGACAAATGGAGGCCATCACAGAGAAAAAAGAAGAAAATGTATTACATATTAAATTGTCCACTTTGGTACTGTTTAGACCTGGGCACTCTTCAGACGCAAAAAAAAAAAAAAAAAAAAAAAAATCTATTGGGAATATTAAGCAATTTTCATTCCTATTAGCAGAGGGAATAGTAAGATGTTTAGGGAAATTTTTTAAGGAAAGTACATGTGGTAACATATTAGTGATCTCAGAATATAGTAATATGACATGCATCCTCATCTTATAGATGAGAAATTTGCTTTCATATTCATCTAGGGTCTGGGGTTTTAGCTCAGTGGTAGAGGGCTTGCCCAGGGATACTCCACAGCAGGTCCAACCACCAGAATGGGAAGTTACACCCCCATATATATGATATGTCAAAATGTACTCTGTCATGGAGAGCTATAAAGAACAACTTTTTAAAATTAAAGAAAAAAAAAACACAAAGAAGTTTGTTTTCCTATGCTGAGAAAAATGTTACACAGATGGCCATAGGTGGTGGAATGATTATTTTTCCTTTTTAACTAATTTTCTGTATCTGCCGAATTTTCTTTATAAATCCACTTCTATCACTTCTAGGGTCAGCAACGTTTCTTGCAAGTCATACAACAGATGAAAATTAAAGAAAAAGAACCAACAATAAAACTGATGGAGGGAGCAAGAGCGCAGGGCAGGGCCTTGCAGGATGGACCACGCTGTGGGCAGCTGCCGCTACATGGGAGGGACTGCAATGCACCTTCAGCTGCCGCTACATGGGAGGGACTGCAGTGCACCTTTACCTGCCGCTACACGGGAGGGATTGCAGTGCATGTTTACGGCCCGGCGGCTCCATCGATGGTTACCCCCCCACTACAATCTCCCTCACAGCTTTTCCACAAAGGTACTGCTACTCACCTGGAAAAAGTTTTGAGTGTTTCTCTGCTTTTTCCGGTTTTCCTAAGAGACGCTCCTCATCCCACTCCTCTTTGTTGATGCTGGCTTTCTCGTGGCTCAGATCGCACTGTCTTCTCTGATCTAAAACCAAACGTCTCACTTCCTCTAGAATGCGGGAGAAAGGATCGTGGACTCAGTCGGTTAGAGGCACCTCCTGCAGACCCTCTACCTGACCATCGCTTGACTCAAGATGGACATGAAGCAATAGGTAAGATAGATGAGGCCGAGCACAGGGCTGTCATCCCAGAAGCTGGGGAGGCTGAGGCAGGAGGATGGCAAGTTGGAGGCCAGCCTCTGCAACTTAGCTGAGGTCCCCAGCTACTCAGTGAGACCCTGTCTCTAAATAAAATATACAAAGGGCTGGGGATGGGGCTCAATGGTTAAGTGTCTCCCAGGTTCAATTCCTAGTACCCCCCCAAAAAAAACAAAACAAAAATTATAGACCACTATGCTAACAAGTTCTGGCTCATGAATTACCCTGCTGAATAAATTGCCTCTTTTCTTTGTAATTTGAAACAGACTTCTTAAAGTATTCCTTCACTCCCAAGAAACAAAGAGTGTATATCGGGAATCCTGGGACCAAAGGCAGGATTTGGAGCCACAGGTACTCCAGACCCCACAGGAAACTATTAACAATGATCACCTCTGGAGAGACATCATGAGATACTGATTTCTTTTTTCTCCTTTTGGTACTCTGTTGCTAAGTTGTTTTTACGAAGTTAATATGCACAGCCTTTATTAGTGGAAAAAACACAAATCACAATAGCCCAACCATGGATGGAACCAGCCTAGGTGTCCATCAACAGATGAATGGATAGAGAAAATGTGGTATCAGTATCTATACACTATGGAGTGGGGTTTTTATCTTATTATTATTTTATTTTATTATTTATTATCATTTTATTATTATTTATCATTTTATTATTATTGTTGTTTTTGGTACCAGGGATTGAACCCAGGGGTGCTCAACCACTGAGCCCCAGCCACATCCCCTTTTTTATATTTTATTTAGAGACAGGGTCTCCCTGAGTTGCTCAGGGCCTCGCTAAGTTGCTGAGGCTGGCCTCCAACTTGCCATCCTCCTGCCTCAGCCTCCTGAGCCTCTGGGATGACAGGAGTGTGCCACTGTGGCTGGGCATAATGATATTTTTATTCAGCCATACAGAAAAAATGAAATTATGGCATTTGCAGGAAAATGGGTGGAACTTGCGAACATTATGTTAATCAAAGCAAGACAAACTCAGAAAATTGAGGGTCATATGTTTTCTTTTATGTGTGGGAGCTACCGAGGAAAATCAAAAAGGTTGGGGGGGGTGTCATGAGACCAGTACAGTAGAGGAACCAGACGGAGGGAGAGAAGGGCAGGGAGAGGGGAACGATATTGGCCAAAAGACACTGTGTGTGAATATGTAATAGCAAATCCCATCATTATACATAATTATGGGGCTGGGGATAGAGCTCGGTTGGCAGAGAGCTTGCCTTGCATGCACAAGGTCCTGGGTTCAAGCCCCAGCACCACCAAAAAAAAAGAAAAAGAAAACATAATTACAATGCACCGATAAAAATATGGGAAAAGAGCCCTGTGTTGGAACACACCTGTCATTCCCAATGGCTGGGGAGGCTGAGGCAGGAGGATGGCAAGTTGGAGGCCAGCCTCAGCAACTGAGCAAGACCCTAAGCAACTCAGCAAGACCCTGTCTCTAAATAAAATATAAAAAGGGATGGGGAGGGGGCTCAGGAGTTAAGCACCCCTGGGTTCAATCCTGGGTACCCGCCCCCCCCCAAAAAAAAAAGGTAGTTTAGTGAATCTCCACTAGGGGGCAGTGTTGGCCTCCTGGGGACATCTAGAAACGTCTAAAATGTTTTCAAGGGTCACTGTGAGATGCTATTGCTGACGGCTAGTGTAAAAAGACCCCAGATGCTACTAAACACCATACCATGCCCAGGAAATGCACTACAAGCAGGATTTTGCCTGGACCAGAATGTCAACAGTGCCAAGAAAAGATTAAAAACGAGAGGCCCAAGTCCCCAGTGGCAGAACATGTCCCCTTGAGAAGATAGGCCAGAAAGTGGGTGAAAGCCGGCTTCCCAGTATGCACCGTTGGTTCCAATTCTACCATTAAAACAAAAGTGATGATCTTACTTTGCTCACTGTAAAATGGGGAGAATTATATTTGTCTGCAAGTAAAAAATAATAATGATTCTCTTACACACGTTTTCTTTTTTTTTTTTTTTTTTTCTTTTCTTTTTTACCAGGAATTGAACCCAGGGGCGCTTAACTCCGGAGCCCCATCCCCAGCCTCTTTTTTATATTTTATTTAGAGACAGGGTCTCGCTAAGTTGCGTAGGGCCTTGCTAATTTGCTGAGGCTGGCCTCCACCTTGCGATCCTCCTGCCTCAGCCTCCCAAGCTGCTCCAGGCAAAAGTTACAAATCTTGAAACATTTTATATTTCAAGGTTTTGAATGAGGGTTACTCAAACCATAGGGAGAAATCCCAAGCTTCCAGAAACATCTCAAGAGTTAACACTGAAATGCCTGACTTACCGAAAGATCCTGCTTCTTCCAAATAACTGGCAGCCTTTAATTGGTAATACCTGACTTTCTTTGAAATCTTGTCCTTGGTGTCCCAGAGCCTCAAGGTTATTTTATGGAAATTGATTTTCTTTAGCAGTTCCTTCGTCACATTGACGTTAAAACTTTGGCTCCAAGACACCCATAATTTGCCACCTTCAAGCCATGGCTTAATAGTCTGT